AGCATCAAACGTTTTCAAGATGAAAATGGTGGTACAAAACCTTATACCATATTTATTTCTCTAGTATTAGTTTTTAAGCCTTCGCGTATGTGAGAATACTATCTCAGTTCAGTTTGGTTCTGGAGTAGCTACAAGGGTCAATTAGCCTTGGCTTATTGAGAGTTAAGGATAAAAAGTTCTGTTCTGGAAGATGGAACACCCATCTGTTGTTGCCAAGATTTTTTCTTTCCTTATTGCTTAAGGTTAACGGAAGGAAACCTCTTAGGAGTTCTGAGAATTAACTAGTAGCTCCCAAGGGACTTTCTTATGTCTGTTGTTATTTATGTAGCTTATTAAAGAAAAGATCTCTCTTTACAAACATTACCTTATTAATCTTCGTCGAATCAACCTCATACACTCAGGAAAGATGAGGGGTGGGTGGGTAGGGAAACCAGAGTGTATTAGGAGGTGGGCCTATAGACGTTAGAATGGATTTGGGGGCTATGAGGGCTCTGAAAACCTGTTATATTATGGAATAGCTTTCCTTCTTCTGGACATTGCATGTTTTTCTTCCACCATACTTTTCCTTGAGCAGGAAGCAAAAAGATGTCTTTTATATCTTTAGATATAGACATAAATAAGTGTAGAACTCCAATAAAGCAACACAGATAGGAGGTTAAGCATTTGTTTGGAGATTTTGTTTGTAGAGGCCTATGCAAGTTACTTCAGGCAATGGGGTTGGACTGAAGAATATCTGTGGCAATAATGAAAACAGGACTCTTATCTGTGCAGTAAGCAGTGGAGCTCAGTGGGTAAAAGCAGAGGTGTTTGAAGTCACAATGGCTGAAGGTTCAAATTCCCAATTTTCTACTTAGGAGCTGAGTGAATTAACTCCTTCAAGTTTCAATTAAATAGTTAAACAGTTCCTGCCTCATAGGGTTGTTACAAGAAATAATGCATTAAGACACTTAGCACAATCGTTGGCTTGTTGTAATCACTCAATGAAAGTTGGCTGCTGTTATTATTATTGGCTGCCAAGTAATTGGCTGATGGTGCCATATAAATAGAGGATGAGAAAGCAACTGCATATAAAATCACAGTTTCACCAATGATGGCTTAGTACTGAACTCAAACAGTATTTAACCATGTTTTAAAAGCACACAATTTGGGGGAAATGTTGATTCTTTAAAAAGTCAATCTCTAGAGGGTCATAAAAGTTATTTTAATCACTACAACTAATTACAAGGAAGTATAAATCAATAAACTTTGCTAAATGGTCTAAAATATAATAAAGAAAACCATCCTTAACAATTATCCAGGAAGCTACTGTCTTTAATAGGGAGATGATGTAAAAGTTGGATGAGGAGAATGAGTTTTATTATTTGAAAACTCCAGACGTTAACAATGCTTTCAGGGAAATTCTGAATTTAGTTCAGAGTTGTGGCTTTTCACGCTAATTATTTACTTTATGAACTTGAGTTTATTACTTCTCAATTATGTGTGTACTAGACATGCTATGGAAATAAGTGGCCATTTGCAGAAAGGTATTCTCTTCTCTTAGTGTTTTCCCCAAACTTTCTGATTTCAAAACCAGCCCTCTCTCCATTCCTACTCCCAAAGCTGCTTCACTGTTTCAGAGCCTCCATCAAAGATCAAGACGGGAGTCAAGCTGCATTTGGAAAGCCTTAGATCTCCTCTCCCAGTCCTGTGTGGTGGTTACTGGCCCAAGTCTGGGGGTCCCAGAGCCATCACCTGATCTCTCAAGCTTACCTTGCTGCCCCCTCTGACTATGACAGCCAATGCCCACATGGGTTCCTAAGCCATGCTGCTCTCACCTTGGCCCACTGAAGCAAAATGAAATGTCAACATTCTTTGAGAGAGCGTTTAAAGTGATAACAGCGAAATGATCTTCCCTTGAGATTGGCTCAAATAAAATAAATGAAATCCATTTACTCATTCAGCAAAATGTTTGTGTACCTATTACTTGCCAGGGACTGTGCTCAGCACTTGGGGGATGTACAGTGAGATGAAACAACATCCCGTACCCCATAAGGTTTTTTGTGTGCACCTTTCCACAAATGGGAGAGTGTATGATTACAAATTGTGGGTGTTATCTATGGGGCACCTTGTAAGATGGTCAGACTTGAACTTTGTGTGCTCACCTCTGTAGAGAGAAAGGATCTCCTCCCCCCCTCTGTTTGTTAATCGTCACCCGAGGATATTTTTCCATTGATTTTTTTTTTAGAGAGAGGGGAAGAGAGGGGGAGACAGAGAGGAACATCAATGTGAGAGAGACACATCGATTGGTGACCTCCCATAACCAAGGTATGTGCCTTTGACCGGGATCAAACCCAGGGCTCTTCAGTCCACGGCTAGGGCAAAGAGCCCTTCACTGGACCTGGAGTCAGCTGAAAGTGCCCCATTCAATGACAGTTGTGTCTCCTTAGCACGCAGATGGTGTTCCTCTTCTCCGGCCTTCCTCCCTGCTGACCAAGGCTGTCTTACCTCTTGGCCTTACATGAAAGAGGTCCTATCTGCTTGACCATAGCCCCTGTAGCTAGGAGAGTTCCCACAAACCTGAGGCTACGTTCCTTGCTCAAGCCAAGGAAACTGGGATGTGATGTCCCACTCTCCTTGCCTATGGCAAAGAGATAAGCAATTACTCAAGGCATTCCAAGGATCAAAAGCATTAGTCTGAAATGTCTGGTCTGTCCCTATAGGAAATGCTGTATTGGTTAGGGTAGGATTTCTGCTTTGATTTGCTAGGGCCTTTCTGATCTTATAATTTCATTTGGAATGAAAATGGAGAATTTTGTTTGCATTGCCTGTATTCTTCATTAGCTAATAGCTGGGTTGACCTTGAAATTTTGACATGACAAAATAGTCAAAGAAAAGAGCACAGCGTTTTTCTGCTGTCATTTTGTGCAACCAAGAATTATTTGTCCTTCTGGAGGGTGGCTTTATTTTTAGCCCCATGCAGTGCTTTAGATGGATGTCCTGTCTGTTTCCACAACGCAGCTCAGATAACCCAATCACATCCAGTTTTAGGGACAAATTCTCTTTGTTCCAACTTAGAACATCAAGCTTTGCAAGAATAGAGAAGATATAGTCACTCTCGTTAATGAGAAAATATATGGGTAAGCGATGTTCCCATACCACATGTTGGATCTCTGACACTTTTGGGTTTTGGTGTATAATTTCATGGTTGCACGGAGGACTGTTAAGCTCTGGTGCTTCTAAGGAATAGACTCAGTCTGATAAGACGTCTCAAATGGTGGGGAAACTCTAAGGCTGTAAGAATAAGGATGATAGGAGTCTCCTAGCACTCAGGGGAAGATGCACAGTGGGTCTCCTATGGAGCCTGGAATGTAGATGGAGAATTGGAAGGAACCAGTGTGGTTTCAGCATTCTCAGTAGCAGAGGCCAATGGTCCTACACACTTGACCATTAACTCAGTTCAGAGCTATGCCATGGTTAGTAACTCCAGGCTCTCAGACATACTTGCCAAGTTATCTGGTTCTCATTTCCCTTTTGCCACAAGATCATTTGCTGATCTTGGCACTATAGACTCTGAGCCATTTAAAGTTGCAATTGGGAAGAAAAAAAAGACATTTCAGGCTTGTTTACACTGCCAGTTGAAGAAGCTGCAGGGCAAAGACCTTAAATTCATCTGCAGATCTTACTTCCCCCCAGAAATCTCTAGCCAAGCTGCTGCTCTTGCTCTGAGAAGCTATCTGGTCCCCGAGTTTGCATTGGGTTCTGCAGAAAAATGATCTCTGCTGTTTCCTGGTGGCTGGTCATGAAGCCAGGTTTGTGTCTTCCCAGATAATTTTCTGCCACCTTTGGTATTATTGGCTTCAGTTACAAAGCTAAAGACATTGGGCTTCCAACCCTATATGAAATTTAAAGTGTACACAGGAGAAAATGCTCCGTCAACATGGCTGTCCAGTTACTCTCCCT